AACTGGAGCTGAGAACAGAAGAAGAGCGAGTAGAACGCCAAGAAACTGAACCAGAGCCAAGACTGAAGGAGTAACCCTGAGACGACCGCTGAGTAGCCTGATCGTCTGCCCAAGAAGCGTCTGAGTGCCCAGTGAGAAAAACTGGGACTCGCCCTCCAAGCACTAGCCCCATGCCCGACGTACTGCACAAGTAGCGCAACACCCTCTTAGCTGCATCCATGTGCTCCTTCCGGTGACGCCCGGGAGCGACATAGCGTGCAAGAATGCTAAGAGGGTATGCAAGGTCAGGTCGAGTGCAGATCATCAGGTACATGAGGCAACCCACAAGCTCTGGATACGGGCCACTCGGCTCTACGGACTCATCCGAAGGCAGAGCTGAGAGCGAGTGACCGGTAGGCAGAGGAGTGGGCTGAGGCGAGGAGTACGTGAAGCGGAAGCGCTGAAGGACCTCCTGCACCATGTGTGACTAAGTCGACGTGATGGTGCGGCGTGCTTTGTCCCGGGTGATCCGCAAGCCAAGATAGCTTGTCACTTCACCCAGCTCTGTGCACGTGTGTCTCTTCTGGAGCTCCGACTTCACGTGGGCGAGTGCCGCTGTGTCAGCAGTAGCAAAGACCAAGTCGTCGACGTACACAAGGACGTAGAACGGCGGTAGTGAGGTGTCGCTGCGTAGAAGCAGCGACGGGTCAGCAGTAGAAGGCGCGAACCCAAGAGCCGCAAGTGTAGTCCTCAGTGTGTGGTGCCACTCACGTGGCGCTTGGCGGAGACCGTAGACTGGCCGTCGGAGGCTCCACTGGGTACCAGGAGGGAACGACCCAGTGAAGCCAGGTGGACGGCACAGCCAGATCTCCTCGTGCAGGCTGCCCTGTAGGAAAGCAGTGCTGAAGTCAAGCGAGTGGAGCTCGTAGTCACGCTGAGCGGCGACGTGCAGCAGAACCCGAAGAGTGGTCATCTTCGGGGTCGGGGAGAAGGTCTGGAAGAAGTCAACTCCCTCTCGCTGACTGAAGCCTCGTGCAACGTAACGCACCTTGAAGACAGGCGGAGAGCCCTGCGGCCGCTTCACCCTGAAAATCCACATGCCACTGACGATGTTCGCCCCAAGCAGGGGAACCTCGTCGACGTAGGTGCCTGTGGACTTCCAGGAAGCCATCTCTGTATCCATGGCCGACTGCCACTGAGAGGAGTAGGGACCGGCCATCGCCTCTGCGTAAGAGCGTGGGGTCGGGATGTCTGGTGCATCCGGGTCTCCCTCAGGGGCAACAAGCATGGACACCAGATGGGGCAAAGCGGCAGCAAAGCACTCAAACTCCTCCTGCCTGTCCTCAAGGACGTCAGTGCCAAGAGCACACTCACCCCCGACGGACGGAGGACAGACAGACTCAGACTCAGCAACTAGGCTAGCGGCTTAGTCTAGATGACAGGTGGCAGCAAAGTCGACAAGCTCAGCAACTAAGGCAGACGCAGCAGCGGACACAAAGGAGGGGTCAGTGACAACAGTAGCCAAGAGACGCGTGACACAAGGACTGGCAGCACGAAGGGAGTCTGACCCCGGGTCAGCAAGAGCAGGAAGAGAGGAAGCAGGAGGAGACGGCAGTGGGACACGCTGCGGAGCAGTGGACGGACGAAGCGCCATCCGGTGAGTGCCTGGGACAGCAAGAAGACGCTGACGAGGGACACGACTACTAGAGAGAGCAGTACGGAAAGGCGACGCACGAGGAGGCTCAGGCGACGCAGGACGAGACTCAAGCTCACGACGCTCAATAAGACCTCCAGTCGGACCAGTGTAAGGAGCGGGACCAGGGAGAGAGGAGGCAGACGGTAGCTGCGACGGCAGCTGGGCAGACGGAGGACACCCTAAGGATGGAGGAGGACATGAAGGAGGGAGCAGACCAAGAACCTGCTGAAGGAGCGGAACAAAGTACGGCCGCGGCTGTGCAGCGATACCAGAACCAATAGAGACACCCGCACCAAGGTCCTCAGCACCAGCAACAGCTCCAACGCCCGGGTCCGCAGCACCAGCAGCAGCTCCAACATCCGGGTCCGCAGCACCAGCAGTAGCTCCAACACCCGGGTCCGCAGCACCAGCAGCAGCTCCAACACCCGGGTCCGCAGCACCAGCAGCAGCTCCAACGCCCGGGTCCGCAGCACCAGCAGCAGCTCCAACGCCCGGGTCCGCAGCACCAGCAGCAGCTCCAACACCCGGGTCCGCAGCACCAGCAGCAGCTCCAACGGCAGCGGGGTCCGCGACACGAGGTGCGCCACTCCGAAGAGTGCAGCGCCGCTCGTACCACTCACGGATCCGCTCACTGGAGGGGAGCTCCCGACTAGGAGGAAAAGTACTAGCACCAGTCCCAGTAGCACGCCCGGCTCTAGAGGTGCCTCTCCTGAGGCTGCAGTACTGGAAGTACCACTCACGCAGCTACTCCGAGGAGAGGGGTCCTCCAGGTGTAGGACTCCTAGGCTCAGTACCTCCAGACTCAGAACCCCCAGACTCCTGACTCTGCGGCTCAGCACCCCGAAGCTCAGCACCCCCACGCTCAGCACCCCCACGCTCAGCACCCGCAAGCTCAGCACCCCCAGGCTCAGCACCTCCAGGCTCAGCACCCGCAAGCTCAGCACCCCCAGGCTCCACACTCCCAGGCTCAGTACCCTCAAGCTCAGCACCCCCAGGCTCAGCACCCCCAGGTTCAGCACCCCCAGCAGGACGAGAGTCGACAGCTACCTCAACAGGCTCAACCGGGTCTACCTGAGACACACCTGGAAAGCGCTGGAGGAACGTAACACCTAGAAAGTCGTTCCCGTAAGCGTGGCAAGGAACAAGACCATCCTCACCGGGAAATGGGTCTTCCGCATCAAAACAAAGGCAGACGGCACAATCGAGAAATTCAAAGCACGCTGGGTCGTGCGTGGATTCGACCAGGAGCACGGACGGGACTTCACCGAGACATTCACCCCGGTTAGCCGACATACCTCACTCCGAATTCTCCTCGCGATCGCCGCTATGAAGAAGAAGAAACTGCGACAAATCGATGTCGCCAACGCGTTCCTCTACGCACCCGTCGACGCCGAAATCTTCGTCGAGCTCCCACACGGTACCCACGGGGAACCTAACCAAGTCTGTCAATTACTGAAATCGCTCTACGGAATCAAACAAGCCCCGCGGCTGTGGCAACAGCACCTACACACCCGCCTCACTCACATCGGATTCCGCCAACTGCCTCACGACCAAGGAATGTACCGACTCACCAAAAACGCCGACTACATCCTGCTGATCGTCTACGTCGACGATTTACTCTACATCGGCTCTACTGACGACATAACCACCTGGTTCGAAGGGGAGCTGCAGAGGGACCTCACACTCACGGTCTCCTCTACCGTCACTCAGTACCTCGGACTCAACATCCGCGAAGAAGAGAACGCGATCTATCTCAGCGCCGAAAAGTATGCCGACACTATCGCCAAACGCTTCGCGCTCACACCTACTACTATCTCTACGCCATACCGCTACACGACAGGGAACGACAAAGGAGGTTCCGTCCTACTCAAACCCGCCGGCATACGAGACTACCAGAAGAAGCTGGGATGCCTTCTCTTCGCAGCCGTCACCTGCCGCCCACATCTGTCCTACTCCGCAAGTCAACTCGCTACCTACCTCAAAAGGCCCGAAACATACACCTGGCGGAGCTCGACCGCGCACTTTACTACTTCGTAAGCACCTCAACGATCGGTCTAACATACTACAAGAATACAACTACACCGACGAAACTAATCTGCTACGTCGACGCCGATCACGTCGGTGACTCAGACAGCAGACGCTCCCGCACTGGCTACATCTACCGCCTCGAACCTATCGGACCTATCTCCTGGCAATCGAGCAAGCAGGAACTAATCGCTCTCTCTTCAGCTGAAGCAGAATATATCGCACTCTGCTCAGCCACCAAGGAAGGACTCTATCTTCGCGAGCTGCTGGAAGAAGCGAAGTTAGCCGAGTTACCCAACTTCACTCTGTTCTGCGACAACCAATCTGCGATTCGCATCGCCAACAAAAGCGGATTCGCGAACAGAACGAAGCATATCGCTCTGCGATATTTCTTCGTGAAGGACGAGATCGAGAAAGGGAAACTCGAACTATCCTACTGTCCCACGTCCGAGATGGCAGCTGACTACTTGACCAAGAAGCTCGGAAAACAGAAGTTTGAGTACTGCATGCTGCTGACTGGACAAAGCCACGCCACCATCAGCGACACTCCAGAAGCGAAGAGGAGTGTTGGGAACAAATAGTCTTAAGCGCCTCTGTCGTGTCGAAACTCCAAGACACAAGCGAAGCAATGCAATCGAAGCACCAGCGAGTCAACCCTCGGAGGTTGATGTAACCGCTGGAGGTTACGCGAAAGTCAAAGGTCAGCGACCTTTGACCTGACAAATGCAGCGCGATTGCAAGGACACACAACTGACTCGACATTGAGCAGTTGCCCGAGTCTTACTGTATCAAACAGCAACAGTAAAGTAGTTACAGTTATGTCTCTTCATATTCTCTGTACTCATATATATATTCCTGTATCTCTTTGCTTTAATCAACTTACTTTGCCCTCACATACTAGCGCAAGGTGGTTCAAGGACTTTATTCAAAACGCTTCCGCTACTACATCATTTACTCAGACTATTAACTCTACCAAAGATCCTAGGGCTTTCAGCCCAACATCTTTCACCTCGACTGCTGCCTTCACCAACGCTTGTCTCACTCCCTGTCCCTCTCGACTTGCAACAGGTGTTGCCACCACTCCTACTGCTCCTGCTGCTTGGGAATAATGCCTCAACTATTAACGTGCCTCTTCCTCTACTCAACATTCAATGCACAAAACCTTCACCTTTGCTCTTTACTATCTCTACCCAAGGACATTGATGATTCTGCCACTGACCTTGACACTCACCTTGCCACTGCCACTGCTGCCACCATCCCGGCTGCTGGTCCTGCCAGGGCATGTGAGCTTGTGAAAGGGCTAGTGCGCTTTTTGGCACTCTCTGCTGCAATACGCCACCTTGCCATACCCAGAGCAGTTCTTCAGCTTCACACCACCGCCGTCCGCCCTCCCACACCCCACAGCACCGCACACACGGTCCCCACAAGGAGCAGGCGCACAGCTCACTAGGGTTGTTACTGGTGGAGGGATGGGAGCCTCAGCACGGGAGGAAGGGCGGTAGCACGGCTCCCCCAGCAGCATCTCTCACAGACATGCCAGCAAATTGACCCCCCCCGGCCATGGCTCGAGGTAATCTGGCAAATCTACTCTCCCCTCACTGTAGCTGCCGATAAGGGTGTAAACAAATACCACTGTATTCGTATTAGTATTCGATATTTGACAAATATCAAATACAAATCAAATACAAATGCCCCTTATTATTCGAAAGTATTCGACGTTCAAGTATTCGGTTTAGATAACCGGTTATTCGAATACATATTCGATTCGTTCTTAAGTTACTGAACCACTCAAACCAGCCGCTATTGTTCACGAAATCTTGAGTTAACAATACAAAGGACTCTACAGAACGGCCGTCAGAGCCATGCTAACTGAGCAAGGGGCCAATGAGTTAAAGAGTGTGAATGATACTTCAGTATGCATTTAAGCCCCACCGTGAATCATGAGACCCTTGTTTGAGCTACAATATGCTATTCGAAACCGTATTCGACACACCATGTATTCGAATCGTATTCGAATTCGTGGAGGGACAGGTATTCGAACAAATACAAATACAGCCAGGTATTCGACAAATATTCGTTTTAGATAACCGTATTCGAATCCGCATTCGTTTTTACACCCTTAGCTGCCGCCTCTGCCACCACTGCTGCTGCTACAGCTCCCCTTGCTGCTGCTGCTGCTGCTGCTGCTGTTGCTGCTGCTGCCAGCGCTGCTGCTACTACCCGATCCATCCTGGCTGTCCACGTCAGCACGGAACCTCGCCTGTGCCGCCTCCCGGAACATCGCAGCGACCAGCAGCTTCGTGTGCACCCGCTTGTGCACCTCCTTGCTGCCCCTACAGGGAGGGCTGAGCCCCGATGCGACGGACTCAGGGTCAAACCACTTGCCTGTAGCCCTCACACTGGACGGCCAAGCCATCACTGCAGTGGCACACCAGGTTCGCACCTCCTCCCACACCTCTCCATCATCCTCCTCTTCCACCTCTCGCCCCCCACCGTTACTTTTACTCCCTGTTCGGTGCCCTTTCCTCGCTCGATACTCTGCAATTTTCCGTTCAGCTTCCCCTCGCGCTTCCACCATCCCCATCTTCATCACCTCGTCGATTCCGAGGATGAAAATGGGCCAGTTCAGGGCGATCATGAGCAGCATGAGCAGAGGGAGCTTTTCCGCTTGATCACGAACGGAGGACAGGTTACGACTCGCAGCTGCTCTTGCAGGTGAGGGGTCGTGCAGATGCAGCGTCTGTGCAAGCTGGGTGAACTCAGGGGAGCGCGGCGGGAAGATGGAGACGAAGCGGTTGAAGAGGACGGAAGCGGGGCGGTAGGCGAAGTTGGCAATGAGAGCAGAGAAGGGAATGAAGACGTTGAATCGGGCGAAGCATGAAATGCACTTGGCGCACGCTGGGGAATCAAAGAACCAGCTGGCTGCAAACAGCAGGAATTCCACATCAGCTGTGCAGCGAATGATAGGAAGCTTCCCCTTTAAAGGCAACAGCGCGCGTGTGGGAGCATCTGAGTGGGTTTTTTGGTCGCTGCTGTCCCCCGTGTTGCTTCTGCCCCTTCCATTTCGCCCCCTCCCACACTTGCGCTTGCCTCCTCCACCCTTAGCTGCCTGCTCCAATGGCCTCTCTCTAACCTCCCCTCCACTCCCATCCTCCTCTCTTGCCGCACACCCCTCACTCTTCTCTACAATCCCCAGCCCAAAGCATCTTGCACTTGGCTCCTCAGGAAGCTTCACAGCAGATTCATCGCCCCGGGGCCACTCGTCCCACTCCAAGGAGAAGCTGGCTCCGTCCGCAGGCTTGGGGATGGCACCGAACCTAAGCAGTAGGATTGGGAGGTCGTGGAAGGGGTGCTGTATGGGCAGGACCTTGCCCAGTGGGCTGTCTTTGGAGCATTGCTTCGCTGAGATGGAATCTGAGCCGTAGATGCGCACCCACTGCAAGATGCAACTGACTCGATAAGTGAAGACCGCAAGAACGGGGTTAGAGTTAACAGGATTGCCGATAGCACCATTGTCTGCTCTCACCCCTCCGCATGCGCCTACTGCTCCACATCCCCCTCCTCTCTTACCCATCTCCTGTGCCTGCCTCGTCCTTCTCAGCCTCTCCCTGGCCTCTTCAATAGCTGCCTCCTCCACCCGAGTCTTGCTCGCGTTGTTCCCATCTAGAATGTACACTCGCCCTTGCAGTGCTTTGGCTTGGAAAATACCGAGGCGACAGCCAGGGCAAAGTCAGTGGCACCCACGCCACTCACATACATGCCCTTGGGAGTGTCCCTGCCTTCCAAATTGCTGCTGCTGCTGCTGCTGCTGCTGCTGCTGCTGCTGCTGCTGCTGCTGCTGCTGCTGCTGCTGCTGCTGCTGCTGCTGCTGCTGCTGCTGCTGCTGCTGCTGTTGCTGCTGCTGCTGCTGCCGCTGCCGCTGCCACCATTGCGCCCCCCCTCACTGCAATGACTGCACCTGAGCTCCCTCCCTTCCCCCCCTCCATGCTCCAGGATCCAAGCCATGCCATCCACAAACCTCTCCCACTCACGCCCCTTCAAATTCTCCCTCCACCTCCCACCCTTCCCATCCCTGCCACCATCACAATCACACCCATCTGCACCCTCCTTGCTGCCTGCCTGCTCCCCTCCACCACCTTCCCCTGCTGCAACCCTCCCGCTCCCAGCCTCAGCTTCTTGTGCCATGCCGCTTCCGCTGCCCATTTCTTCCGCCATGCCGCTTCCGCTGCCCATTTCTTCCGCCATGCCGCTTCTGCCCTCCACAGCCCGTGCCATCGCTTCAGCCATGAGTCGGATCCCCGTCTCCCACGACGCTTCAGGGCTCCCCATCCACGGCATCATCACCACCTCTCTAGCCATCCTGCCGTCTTTCAACCTCCCTATGTCCTCAATAGACCCCCTAACCACGCCATCTGCATCCCTTCCTGCTCCTCCCCTTCCCCTCCCATCCGCATGCACCGTCTCAGCAGCACTCCCCCCAGTTCCCTCCTTCCCCTCTCCGTGCGTCTTTTCCAGCCCGCCTGACAGCAAATGCTGCAAGAAGAACCCAAACCCTTCCTGCAGATCAGCACTCTCCTTCACCCCCAGCACCTGCACCAGTGTGGACGTGGCGACATCCGGCTGTGCATGCCGGCTTACTCCCAGTTCGACCGCGAGGGAAGGATAGGCTGAGTCATAGAGCTCCTTCTGAGCCTTCCAAAGAGTCACGAACCGAGGGAACCTCGCTACAAGAGCGAGGAAGGCAGCGAAGCTGACAGCACGGCGGTAGGCAGCCCAGCAGCTGCTGCAGCGCCAGCAGCTGGACCACGCTGCAGCAGCAGAAGCAACAGCTTCAGGTTCAGCAGGAGAGGTCGTGGGAGGAGGAGCAGAAGAATGTACAGTAGAGTCTCCAGTAGCGAAAATAGCAGGCAGGCGGGATCTGATCCTCCACAGGTCCATGAGCACGCCCACACGAGGCTCAGCCATCCACTCGAGAAGCATCGCCTCCACGCATAGGTAGGGCGCGTTTCTCTCCTTCCACTCCAACTGTACCAACGGTGGTACCCCCCCCAGGCCCCCTAGGGTCTGCACCGGCACTTTCAGGGAGAACTCGAGCTCGGCCCTGCTTTGGTGGATCGGTGGCGCAGCAGGAACGGAAGAAGGAAGCATGTTGTGTAGTTCAAGATGGAAGGTTTCGATGTTGCCAATGTTGAGAGCGCGCTGTGCTCGGTAGCTCACTGCCCTGTCGAATCAGCACTCGCATTCCTTCACCTCCCAACCGTCTCGCACGTCTACGTAGTGAACCATGTCCGCGCGCGACAGAAGCTGGAGCTTCTCTGGTCTTTCCTGAACCCTCGTTTTCTCCGTTTCCCCCACAACTGCTTTTTCTGCCTTTGCCTGTCCAAATCCTCCTGGCTTGTCTTGGACTTGCAACTCCTCCAGCATCTCCTGAACCTCCTCCGAACCTGACAGGATTTGACGTGTTGCTTCCAGAGATATAGAAGCGGAAGACGCGTTAGGGGGTATCAACGCATGAGCCCTTTCATTTCCCCCACAGCGTTCTCCTGGGAATTCTTTCATCAGTCCGTGCTCCTCCTCTTCATCGCTGCTGGAAGCAATGTGGTCCCATTTGCTGTAGTCAATAGAGCTTGTGGTAGCAGCAGCAAGAGGAGCAGCCGCATCAGGAAGCGCAGCAGAAGCAGGTGCTGCGGCTGGAGCAGGAGAAGAAGCATCAGCCGGAGGAGGGAGCACAACAGCATCCGGCGCAGAGGTGGTAGCAGCAGTATTTGGAGCTGCAGCGACAGCACGAGGCACATTGACAGCAGGGTCAGCAGCAGGACTGATCGCACCCTGTTCAGCTTTCGCCTTGGCTTTACTATGCACAGCTTTCACGGGAAGCACCTTGATGGTCGAAGTAGATTTGAGCTTCGCCTGTTCTACGGTTGAATCAGGTGAGAGGTAAACCACCTGGCCAAGTACCATAAAACGGACCTGCTGGGTCCGAGCCGCTGACCGGCTTTCCTCCAGCGCTCTCCCGCCGTCTAATGCTAGTTCTTGTGATTCGCATGGTAAGCAGTAGTTTGACAGATGGGACTTAAATAGTCTGTGGAATACTAATCGAAGAGTCTCTTTTAGAGCGACAGGTATAGCAACGTCCACGTAAGACGATTGAGATGGCTTACTTTCAGAACAGCTGTCGGTACATGATATGCTACTGACGACGCCATTGCTAGAGCATCCCGCTACCTCTTTGTTCCCATGATCGTCGGATTCACGTCGAATCAGATCAGACGGGACCCTGAACCTAACACCGAAAGACATTTCGTCGGGACGATTTCTTTAAGCGCTAGCTACGGCAAAGAAGACAACATGCTGATCGCCGGATTCACCTCGAATCAGATCAGACGGAACCCTGAAGCTAACACTGAAAGACAATTCGTCGCGACGATTTCTTCAGTGCAAGTTACGGCAAAAAAACAATGCAAATTAGAGACGAGGATTCACTCGAGGTGTTCTCAAACGAGACGAGCCGAATCTAAGGTTGAAGATGCTACCATGGGACAATATGGATGTCTGGAATGGAAGCAGCAGAAGGAATTCCGTTTTGCATCTCTGTCGTTCCAGCTGCTGTGCTGAGAAGCTTGGTTTGGTGGGTCAGACTCCGCAGTGGCAGGTCAAATGTAGCTCTGGGCGAATATGCGGGAAAGAAATGTGGAGTAACAAAACGGATACTGTACCTTTTTTATTGCCAGATTTCGCAACGAAGAATTGGGTGCAGTAGTTGCGAAAAGGGAATAGCAGGACTGGGTGCGAAGCAGGAAAACGAAAATGGATGGGGATCAACCTCACGAACAAAAGAGTTCGTTGAAATTCATGCACTCCGGTAACCAGCCCAGAGTGGTGTCACTTCGAATCTGAGCAATTTGATCGGTAATTTCGACGGGGTCGCGAACACCCGTCACTGGAAACCACTTCGTCAACGTCAGCGGAGAGGCCAGCTCAACTCCCTAGAGCCATCTTTACTGCAGGCAGCACCAGAAACAATAATCCTGCTTTCATTGTTTTTTGTGCATACCTAGAACTAGCGTCCTGGAGAACCACACCTAGCCGACCATGGAGGGTAAGTTGTTGGCGAATTTTGCGGATATGACTGAGTTGTTGCAGTTCGATTTAAAAAATTCATTTTCCAGGTCAACGCCTGTTGCACAAAGTTATTAGGGAGGGGAATTTCAGTGAAGTGCTGAAGGTTCTGGACAAGGGAGTCGACATTGAAGCGAGGGACGCTGTAAGAAAGCTCCCTTCCTCTTCGTAATCTTAACGTTCCAGAATTGAATCATGACGTCATAGTTTTCGAATTTCAGGAAGGCCAAACTCCTCTCCACGTGGCTGCAAGGCTCGGCCACGAGCGTATTGTCGACGTCCTTCTTATCAAAGGCGCGAAAGCTGAAGCACGTGACACTTGGGTTCGTAGCATGCAAATCGATTGCTGTTTTTTCCACGAACATCCGTTCAAAATTCTCGTCGCATGTATCAGGGCCAATGGACTGCTCTGCATCATGCCGTTTGGGGAGGTGGAACTGGAGCGGTAAAGCGTTTGCTTGACCATTCCGTTGACAAAGATGCTCAAGACAAGGTTAGATTTGTTGTGTTTGAATGCAATTTTCCGGTGCGTCAGTCATATTCACTCCTACTACAGGAAGGTCAAACGCCTCTCCATCTCGGAGCAATGCTTGGACGTATCGTGGAAGTCATCATGCTGTTAGAATCTGGAGCCAATCACGATGCACGGGATCAGGTAGTTCTTGGCAGTCGTGAGACATGCCTTCCACTATTTACTGAAACGAGAATTGCCATGCAGAAATTCTTTACTCCGCTGCACTGCGCAGCAGCATTCGGCACAGTCGAGCTCGCACAAGTATTGCTGCAAAGAGGAGCTGACAAGACTGCCAAGACCAAGGTAAGATCCTCAAACCGAGACATTTCCAATACAGCCCAAGTTAACCTAATCTGTTTCAGGATGGGAAGACGCCATTGCAAATAGCCGAGTCTAATAAGCGACATGATGTTGTCCAAATGTTTCATCGTTATGGATCAAAGCGATCAAGTCAGGTATGTTGCACTTCTGTTACTGAGGCATTGTTGCCTGTGAACATGGTGGTTCCTGACATTGCCATATTTCAGGTAAATGCTGCTTCTATTCAAGGAACTATCAGTCAAGTGGAGATAATGAAGCGAGCTGAAAATTCTGTCGGCAAAGCATATGATGAGATTGCTGTTCGAGAAGCATCAGGCAGGATCGAAAAGCTCGAATTATCTCTACAAGAAGCACAGAAGAAGGCTGTAGCTGAAGAAAAGAGGAGACTTGGAGCTGAGGCGAAGTTCGTCACTGAGTCCAACAAGCGGAAGGAGGCCGAAGCAAGAGCCTTGGATGAGGAGAAAAAACGGAAGGATGCAGAGGCACGGAAGAGGGTTCTCGAAAAGCAAATGGCTGACGCTATGCACACAGCAAGTGAAGGGGAACAACTGAGACAAGAGATGGAAAACCAGCTTGATTCTGAGAGGTCTTTTCGGATCAATGCCGAGAAAAAAGTTGTTGAACTTCAACGGAGGCTGGAGCTGGTGGAATGCCAGCTGCATGAGGCTGCACATTTAAGACGCATGGCAGAAGTCAAGGCGAAGGAAGAAGAAGAGAAGCGGCAGAAGCTTGAGACAGCATTCAATGAGGTTGAGAAAACGCATAAGGAGTACAATATGAAAGTGAAGGCTGATCAGGAGGTGTTGAAGGGCATGACCTTGAAGCTTGAGGAGTCGGAAAACAAGCGACTGGAGCTGGAGCTGAAGTTGAAAGAGGAAGCTGAAAGGTGTCGCAAGATGGAAGCGTTTAATCGCCAGGAATTGAAGCTCAGAAAGGAGGAGGAAAAAATGCGAAGGGAGTTTCAGGCCAAGCTTCAGGAGGAAGGAAAGAAGCGGTCTCTGGCAGAGCTCAGAAGTGGAGATGAGGCAAAGAAACGGGCGCGAGCTGAGATTAAGGCTCTGGCGGAAGAGGGCAAGGTGCATGAGCTGGAGGCGAAGCTTGGTGAAATGCTGGCCAGGAACAAGGAGCTGGAGAGGAAACTTGCTAATGCACAAGACTCCCTTAAGAAGGATCTGCACGGTGAAATTGCTGGTACGGTGCTTGGGGAGGAAAGATCAGAGAACTCGCAACAGCGGAAAGATGTTGAAGATGCCGAGACAGTGAAGGAGGGCGAGAGAGAGAACAGGAAAACAGATCCCTTGGGTGCTGATGTCAACGGTGCTGCAGTGGCTGAAGAACTGTTGTCCCAGGAGACTGGAGTGAGCCCTCAACATGAAGAACTGTGGAGGCTGAGGGAGTTGGTGAAGGTGCAGGAGCGCCAGCTTGATGAGTCCAAGGAAGTGATCAAGACGCTTATGTCTGCAGCTGAGATGGGAAGTTCAGTCAGGACATCTCGGGCTTCAAATGACCCTATCTCTCACGCGAGATTGTCTGCAGCAGAACCTCCTGCTGGATCCACAAGTGAGGCTGATGAGGAAGAGGAAAGTGCAAAGGAGCCAGAGAATCAGCAGCAGCCCTTCAAATCAGATGTTGAAGTCTTGAGGTCTGAAAACGCATCTCTTCATTCTGCACTGCAGAATCTTTCTGCGAAGGTAAAACCTGCAATCCCTTCTGAATCTTGTATGTATAGTATGTTCCTAACGTGCATTTCTCATGTGCAGATCCTTGAACACTCTGATTGCAAGAGCATGATTGAAGATCTCCATGCTGAGAGGAAGAATCTGAAAGAGCAGCTGGCTCATGAAAAGAAATTACGTGAAGGCCTAAGCATTGAAGTGAAGGAAGCCAAACGGAAGAAAGAGGAAGCAGAGATAAAGGCTGCAGCTATGAAGGAGTGTCTGGCAAAAGTTGAAGTAGGAGGACATCCTTCCACTGCATCTCCAAAGGATAGTCCCAGCAAAGGACCAACAATGCTGGAGAAGCTGAAGATGCGGACACCACGGGTGTTTGAAATTCAGCACAAGTGATGCAGTTGTTCTGAACATGGTGGTGAAAGTAGAGAATGCAGGAAGGGTTGCCACATGCATGTATTTTTCTCGTCTATGGGCATAATGGATTCGCTGTTTTGACTAAGCATAGAGCGGTTCAAATCAAATGATGGTGTTACACGAACAAGAATAAATTGCACTTCTGTTATGCACTGTTTTTTTTTTCAATTCAAATTGCAGTTTTGATTCAGCACAATCATGCTTTCCCTTGACTCAACCTCTCTTGCACATGCTTCAGAGCTCGCGCAGCTGCCTCATTTGCAGGTACCTTCTCTTCCACCAGGAGACGTTGAAACTCTTCACGTACTGCCACAGCAAATTGCTCTCTAGCCGCTGCTGCTGCCGCTGCTGCAGCTGCTGCGGTAACCACTGAAGATGGCAGTGAAGCTTTTCCCCCATCACAAACGGCATGGCTATTGCCGTCCACAGCTCCTGTGGCTGTATGTGTATTCTGATCATTTGCCTGTGCAGGCTGCTGGCGTGCAGTGTAAAGGTCAAAGCACGCAAGCTGAAGGCAGCTGCAGGAAGGATCTCGGACGGCTGAGATGACAAGCCTGCGAGACAAATAAGGGGAGGGAAGGAAGGGAGGGGTAATTGCCAGAGTTTCTTGTGAATCTTACAATTGCCCTGTTAGCTGGGCTGTACAGTCAAGTTACAAAGTGACCCCTGCCATGTTGCAAACGTTTAAGGCTGTGAAATGCAGAGTTGCCCTGATATGGTTTGGCATTTGCCACATACAGATCTGCAGATGCAAAGATGAGTGGTAGGAAAGCATAGAAGAAACGACCTCCACAAAGCTTCATAGCTGCACAGCAAGGCACATTCCTCAATGGGTCTAGCTTTGTTTTGGTACCTGAATAGAGTCGCTCGGTGGGGCAAAGCTGTACCTGAATAGAGTCGCTCGGGGCAAAGCTGTATCTGAATAGAGTCGCTCGCTGGGGCAAAGCTGTACCTGAATAGAGTCGCTCGCTGGGGCAAAGCTGTACCTGAATAGAGTCGCTGGGTTTTGTTTAGCTGAGCCGATTGGAAACACTCGAGTCTGATGCCTGCTGCTGAATTGCACAGCAGCCTGTGTGTCCAGAACGCCCCAAGTCTTTCCGCCGTCCTTGCTGGCTTGCAGCGACCTGATACAGTGTACGGAGTGCATGGGTGGAATGGTATATTTCACAAAATCACGCATTGTACAGTGTTTCAATGAAGTGATGAAAATCTGGCAGTTAAAAAAATCTAGAGGTTGATTGAAACGAATGTGTTGTTCTTCACTACCATCAAAAACCTTATTTGAGACTCACCAGCAGCAGGGGTCCCTTTCTGGGCAATCATTCGCCGATGTAATTGAATACATGGTGACTGTAACAGGAGCGGAGCCACTGAGCCGATACTGTAACCATGCACCTGCCAAAGGGAGTGCCACCAGAACAAAAAGAACGTTCACAGAAGGACAATAATGTTTGGTCTGATGCCACAAGCTGGATTCAGCTCGAGATTGCACTCACAATTAATGAAGCATGTGAATGCCTTGGATGGCATTGGATGGCACGTCATGGCATGGCACGTCAGGGTGAGTTTTGAGTCGACTCAAAACTCACAGGGAGTGCCACCAGAACAAAAAGAACGTTCACAGAAGGACAATAATGTTTGGTCTGATGCCACAAGCTGGATTCAGCTCGAGATTGCATTCACAATTAATGAAGCATGTGAATGGCTTGGATGGCATTGGATGGCACGTCATGGCATGGCACGTCACGGCATGGCATGGCATGGCATGGCATGTCATGGCATGGCATGGTATGGCAAGTAACGTCACAGCATGGCACAATGGTGGTGTTCTGGTGACTCCTGCGGGGGGGGGGGGGGGAGGAGGGGGGGCGAATGTAACTGATGATGGTTCCGAAAGGTGTTTCAGGGCTCGATTTCTCCACCTCCCGCTTTTGAGTCGACTCAAAAGCAGATTTCTCCACCTCCCACTTTTGAGTCGACTCAAAAGCAGATTTCTCCACCTCCCGCTTTTGAGTCGACTCAAAAGCAGATTTCTCCACCTCCCGCTTTTGAGTCGACTCAAAAGCAGATTTCTCCACCTCCCGCTTTTGAGTCGACTCAAAAGCAGATTTCTCCACCTCCCACTACAACCGAAGATGGGAAATTTCGGGCGCGAGGGGTGGAAGGCTCCGACGGTAAATGAAGAACCTGTGGGTACATTTTCCTGGTCCAGAAACGGGGGTATCGCATTTGGCGCGAACAGGGAAAAATGGTTACAAACATAAACTAGGGTGACTCCTTCTCGAAACAAACAGCTCACCAGGAACAAACACCTCACCAGGAACAAACACCTCACAAGGGTTTGCACTAAGAAGGGGACGTTGTTTTTTTTTTTTTTTCCTGGTTCTTGCGCGTGTGTGTGCGGCGTGCAGTCAAGCAGTCTTTAGTTTCACGGGTAGAACGTTGGTGTTCCTACCCCCAGCTCCTCTCTTCTCTGGCTGTCCCACTTCCCCGTGAAGAGTGGTTGCCGGAAGGCAAGGCGAGAGAGGCAAAATTTGCCTGAGGAGGAAGGTGGGGAGGGTAAATGTGCAGCTTCCAAGTGGTCCACATCCCTGAGGGTAAATGAGTGTTCTGTTGGCATTTACCTTCGTTTTGGTTCAGAGGACAAATAGGTGGCTCGGCACGGTTATACGGGCTGACCGGCGTGTCTAACCAAAAAACGCAGAGGGGAAGATTCCTATTTCCCCTCGCTCCCCCTCCGCCAGTGCCTAGAGAACACCACCAGTATGGCATGGCAGCTGGGAACATCTTACCTTTCCCTCCCTCATGGTGCAGCCATTTGGTGTGCAGCGCTGCATCGCATGCTGAGACGGCCTGGGACGGAGGGCAGAGCAGAGGGATGGAGGGACGGGGGATGCATGGATGGGTGTGGCATATGATGGTTATGCACATGGAAACATGCCAGAACATCACATTTATTTGATGTGCAGCGATGCATCACATGCTGATATCGCCTTGGACGGAGGGCAGAGCGGATGGATGGATGTAAAGTGAGAGCATTCATTGAGTTGAGACACACACCCCACAGCCACAGTGAAACAGAGTAAACTCTTCCATCCACAGCCACACCCACCCATCTCACCATCACTCCCATCTCACCATCTCATTGGGTGTGTTCTCCCCATCTGCTGACACCCAGCCGCAACACACCCAGACAGTCACGGCATGGACTGAGCTGAGAGCATTCATTCAGTTGAACCACTCTACAACCATCTCAACACCTCACCATCTCATTGGGAGCGTTCTCCCCATCTGCTGACACCATGCCACCACACACCCTCTCATGCTGCACCAACCCCTGCAGCCACGATGCATCTCCACCCCCACCATTCCCGGCCCGCATCTCCAATGCCTGCTTGACACGTGGCAGCACCTCCTGTGCTGCCTCCATCGCCATAGCTGCCAGCACAGCCCGTTTTCCGTACCTCCACCCTCCCACCCCTTTTTCCTCCGCCACTACTCCCCCCTTTTCTTTCCTCGCCTCTGCACTGGCCCCCTCTACTCCTTCAGCTTCACACTCCTTCACCCCGACTATCCACCCCGCCCCCTCACTCCCCTCCTTCTCTCCCTCCTCCTCCTTCCAGATCTGAACCCCCATGGCAGTCAGGAGGGATAGCAGGGGAACAGCAGCAGCAGAAGAGCCACCACTACCAGCAGAGGTACCGGAAGCAGCAACCGCACCACCAGTCCCACCAACCGTAGACGTCGCCAGTGCATCCAAGAGTATCGTGCGAAAGGGATCGCATCGATTGTCGTTGAATGGCAACGAGCGGGAGCGGAAGGGGAGCGAGCGGAGAACAGAGAGCAGAGAGAGGAGAGCGTCTAAAGATGTGCCTAGCGACTTCTGCGCTGTTTCTGCTGCTGCTGATGCTGCTTCAAGACTTGGAGAGCCAATAACATAACGACACATGTCCCCTACAGCAAGCAGCGGTGCACCCACATGCTCATCCACCATCCTCCTCTCCAACCTCCCATCCTTCCCCTCTTTCCCCTTGTCCCCCCCATCACCCTCACCATTCTCCAACCCCAGTTCCCCCCTCGCTGCTCTCCACTCCACAGAACCAGTCTGCCTCCCTCCCAACACCACACCATCCCTTACCCCTCCCTCTTCTCCTCCTCCCTCCTTCCCTCCTCCCCTCCCTCCACTCAGCTCCTCTCTCTCCCTCGCATCCCTCTCCTCCAACCGCCTCCTCTCGTCCACATTAAGACTGGCTCGAGCTCTTGCTGTCACCGCTGCCACTGCCGTTGCCACAGCTGCCTCTGATGCTTCTGTCCGCCTGTGCTGGAGCTGATTAGAGGGAGCGGGTTTGGGTGGGTGGAGGAAAAGTGGGAGGGGGGAAAGGGGGAAAAGGAAGGATGGTTGAGGACGAAAAGAGAAGGACTGTCTGCAGCTACCGCTAGCTTCAATCAGCTGCCGCTGCGACTGAGGCCACTGTGCTGCCACCTTCTCTCTTTGAACAGCCTCCTCCCATCTACACCAAGCCCAGCTCGAGCCCTCGCTGTCACCGCTGCCACTTCTGCTGCTACTCCCACCTCTGATGCTTCTGCCCGCCTGTGCTGGAGATGAATGGGAGGAGGGTTTCGGCGATTGGGAGAACAGTGGGAGGGAGGGGGAAACGCTGGTTGCGGACAAAAAGCGAGCAATGGTCTGCCGTTGTCATCACCACCACTGCTGCTGCCACTGCTGCTGCTACAGCTGCCTCTGATGCTTCTGTCCGCGTGTGCTGTAGCTGATTGATCGGGGAAAGAGAGTGTTGAACGGTCGGGTGAGGAGGAAGGATGCGTTAACACTGAGCTCAGGTCGGGTGAGGAGGGAGGCGAGGAGAAGGAAGGATAGCTGAGCTGGGCTTGAGTTGATTGTGGTTTGGGTGGTTGGGTGGGCGGTAGCGGGAGGCAGGGGGTGTGGCAGGAAAGGTGGTTAGAGAAGCTGAGTGAGCAATAGCCTGCACTTGTAACTACTCCGCTGTTGCTCCTGTTGCTCTTACTGCTCTTGTAGCTCTTGTTCCATGTCATGAGATGTGAAGGTGTTGTTTCAAGAGCCCTCGTTTGACTTGTGAGTCTGGTTTTGAGTCGACTCAAAAGCTGTTCCATGGCATGTGATGTGAAGGTGATGATGTTTCAAGAGCCCTCGTTGACTTGTGAGTCGTTCGTGACCAGTGACAGTGACCTACTTACACACGTGACCAGTGACAGTGACCTACTTACACACGTGACCAGTGACAGTGACCTACTTACACACGTGACCAGTGACAGTGACCTACTTACACACGTGACCAGTGACAGTGACCTACTTACACACGTGACCAGTGACAGTGACCTACTTACACACGTGACCAGTGACAGTGACCTACTTACACACGTGACCAGTGACAGTGACCTACTTACACACGTGACCAGTGACAGTGACCTACTTACACACGTGACCAGTGACAGTGACCTACTTACACACGTGACCAGTGACAGTGACCTACTTACACACGTGACCAGTGACAGTGACCTACCTCGCTCCATTTTCGTGTGTATCTTCTGATGACGTCAGCAACCCCATCCCTCCCCACTCCAAACACGTACGACAGCTTCTTGCCCCACCTGTGCACCCATCCACCAGATTACACAAGAGTCCATGCATGGAACAACAAGGTGATTTAATTTGACTCAAAAATCACGTACAACAGCTTCTTGCCCCACCTGTTCACCCGAGAACAGTAGACAATAGAAAGAGTCACAGCATTTGATTGCAGGTGCTACCTGCTCTGCAGTGCTACCTGCTCTGCAGTGCTGTATGCATGCATCCATAGCAAACTGTGTCTGCAAACAGCACTGGGACTGGTGGAAACGACAAATGGGTGCAAACAACCCTTTTATTTTAACTTCATGGCATGGTTTGATAAACCGGTGGCTGACAGCCAGTCAGTCAGACCTACAAGCAGGGGTGTCGACAGCTGTCAAAATCTTTATCTTCCTATAGATCAATAGATCTCTCAAATCAAGGATCTGTGGCGCAATGGTAGCGCGTCTGACTCCAGATCAGAAGGTTGCGTGTTCGATTCACGTCAGATTCAAAACCTGCTTTTTTTCCTCCTAGCGGTTCTCCCCAAGCCGCGAGCTGCAACGACCATGTTTGCGTCTTGTGTTCATGCCCTGTGATGTGCTGCGATCCAACGGCTTGGAGGGAAAATGACCTGGTCGACACCGCATCACTGAGATGTGCAGTTCTCGTTTTGTGTAACGGATGATTTGCAGGGCTTTATGGCTGGAACCAGGTCAGTCAGAGTCAAAGACTCTTCTGGCCCAGGAGTGGACCAATGCAAGCCACTGGAGTTACCACTCGTTACAATCACCCCGGCTCACAATCAGTTTTCTTTTCCATGATTATAGGAGGACCCTGGCGAGAGGACGAGGGGTGGCGCGAATCCACCGGCCATGTTGATGATACTTTTGAGAATTCTCAAAAGCAACATCCACATAAGGGACCCAGGCGAGAGAGGACTAGGGGTGGCAAACCCACTGCCCATTTCGTGCGACGTTTTTTATTTGACGAAAGGATACGCGCAAATAAAGTCGGCCTACCTCGCTTTCGCCCTATTGCATTGCACCGCGGTTAAATAACAGATGGTGATTACTCTTGCCTTGCCCAGGAATTCATCCCAAGTGGCAAACCTCACCACAAAACCATCCCCACCTAGCACTAGCCATTCCCACCCCACCCAAACCCCCCATGCAACCACTCTCCACCCACCCTTTTTCGTAGAGCAGAGGCGTGTCAAAGGCTGCTTCACACGGGTCCAGATGCAGCCACCTGCACGGGGGTGGGAGGGGGAAGTGTTTTTTGCTCTTAGAAAAACAGATGCAGTGTGTGAAACTTTCTAGCACACCAGACATCACAACACTAAGCTCACTCACCCTATCTTTGATCCCTCATCACGAATCAAATTGCACGCACCTCTGCTTAGCAAGAGAGTAGCACTCAGTCAACACATGATCCGTCCAATCCACTGCCTGTCATCCCCGCCACAGTATGGCCGCCATACCCACCAAGTAACTCTGCCACCTTTGCCCACCACTAGTAGAACCCATTGCACGCACCTCTGCTTGGCATGCGAGTAGCACTCCGTCCACACATAGTCCGTCAATCGGACTCGGTCAATTCAATTCACCCACTTCCACTGCCTCTGATCTGCTGCTATCCTCACGACGACCCCCACTACACGCACCTCTGCTTGGCATGCGAGTAGCACTCCGTCCACACATGATCCGTCCAATCCACTGCCTGTGGATATCACATGCACACGCACACGCACATGCACACGCACATGCAGGCATGCAGATTTGCAAACATGCAATTGTACCATCCACGACCCACCCATGCATGCATGCATGCATGCACATGTGAACAAACATGCAAAATTTGAATGAAGACAAACGCATTATCTCAAGACTGAATTGAGCAGAACTGCATCAGCTAGCATAACCACAGCCACGTGTATGAAGAAGTGTTTTGAGACGTCTCAAAACACTTCTCCATGCACAGCCACAGCCGCTCACATGTTATCCATCACCTCCACACGCCTGCCTGGAATCAGTATAGTCATTCACATACAGCTGCCGAGCATCGCTATAATCACACCTGCCTGGCATCGCAATAGTAACTTACACCTGCCTGGCATCATAGCCAAGAGCCCGGCAGCAGGGGGTGAAGGTGTTTTTTTGTAGAATTCGCATAACTGAAGCATGCATAGTCTTCCTATAGCCACAGCACACACTCACACACACCTGCCTGGCATCGCTACAGTCACATCACAACACACCACACCACACCACACCACGCGCACTTGCCTGGGATCGCTACATCACATCACATCACACACACACCTGCCTGGCATCGCTACAGTCACATCTACCTGCCTCTCTATGATCACACACACCTGCCTGGCATCGCTACAGTCACATCTACCTGCCTCTCTATGATCACACACACCTGCCTGGCATCGCTACAGTCACATCTACCTGCCTCTCTATGATCACACACACCTGCCTGGCATCGCTACAGTCACATCACACCACACCACACCACACCACACCACACCACACCACGCGCACTTGCCTGGGATCGCTACATCACATCACGTCACACACACACCTGCCTGGCATCGCTACAGTCACATCTACCTGCCTCTCTATGATCACACACACCTGCCTGGCATCGCTACAGTCACATCTACCTGCCTCTCTATGATCACACACACCTGCCTGGCATCACTACAGTCACATCTACCTGCCTCTCTATGATCACACACACCTGCCTGGCATCATAGCCCAAAGCCCGGCAGCAGAGAGTGAAGGCATTGGCCCACTCGCCACAGCGGCCCTCCCTGGTGTCCAGAAGCTGGGTGGTGGGAGGGGGGGAGGGAAGGGGGAAGGGAGGTTGAGAAAGAAGGGCAACCGTGGATGGATGGGACAGCTCAGCCCTCGCAGAGAAAAGCAGAGAGTGAAGGCGTTGGCCCACTCCCCACAGCGGCCCTCCCTGGTGTCCAGAAGCTGGGGAGAATGGGAGGGAAGAATGAGAAGGGGAGGAGGAAAAGGAAAGGGAAGAAGGCCGGATGTGAACCAGCTCAGCCCTGTCCACAGTGGCATGAAGAGAGGACGGTTCATACGGAGGAGATGACAGGTTACACCGAGGACCTGACAGGTCAGACAGAGGAGGTGACACGTCAGACCAAGGCGGCATATGAAGGCAAGGCAGTAGTGGATGGATATGGAAGACTATTGTTGTATCGCACAAAGTGACACACGGCACATGGGTAACTCTTGAGTCGACTCACAAGTCAACTGATGTTGGAGTCTTTTTTTAGAAATTTTGAGAGAGAATTCTAAAAAATGACTTTTGAGTCGACTTAGAAGTTCCCTAATGCTGATAGGTGAGGCGCACGCAGTCCTGTCCCTGTGCCTTTATCTGAATCTGAATCTGAATCTGTATCTGTATCCATATCCATCTTTGTGCTTCCTTGTGCCTCCTTCTGACTAACCTTGGCAGGGTCGTTGTACCGCACGAAGCGAGCCACCGTGCCGCACTGCTTGCACCTGACATGACATCAACACCCAACCCCACCAAGCACACACTCAGAACAAGAAAGTCAGATTAAGGGATGAATAGGACGTCTCAAAAGGCACTCACACCCACCCGCACCGCACGCACACAGAACGATGGGGAAGTTGGGTAATCAGCAGGTAATCAGTGGAAGGAGAGTGCTGTTGCTGTGTAAGGCACAAGTGCAGAAGCAGAAGCGTAGACACTTCTAACGCTCAAACCTATGCCTCACAACCCCCCTCTCTCCTTCCCCCTTCCCCACCCCCTTTTTCTTTCACCTGTGCAGCTCCACGCAGTTACCCCTCCATTGCAGGTCATCAGTGGATGGAGTGCTGCTGCCGTGGAAGGCACAGGTCGGGGTGCGGCAGCATATACACTCCTAACGCTCAAACCTGTGCCTCAAAACCCCGCCCCTCCCTCCCTCTCCTCCCCTGCCCTCGCCCCTCACCTGTGCAGCTCCACCCGCTCCCCCCCCCATAGCAGATCATCAGTGGATGGAGTGCTGCTGCCGTGGAAGGCACAGGTGGGGGTGCGGCAGCGGGGGCATGGAGGGGAGTCCACCCATCTGCATAGAGGGGCGGGGACAAGGACAGAGGAGGCAAGATAGACAAGGAGTGAGCATAGGGGTGAGGGCTGGAAGGGGCAGGTGATGGGTGATGGGGTTGTGGCAGCGGGGGCACAGGGGAGAGTCCATCCATTTGCATGGGGAAGCAGGGCGGGCAGCAATAGGGAAAGGCGGGAGGGAGGGAGGGAGAACGGGGGGCAAGGGGCAGGGTAGGTGTTGAGGACTAGTCCAGGAAGGACCGATAAGGCAAGGTGGGAGTACGGCAGTGAGTGAGTATATGTAGGGAGTACAGCAGGGAGCTAAGTCAACCCACTCCTGTCCTGTGGAAAGAAACCGCACTTTACTCACCTGCATTCAACTGAACCGCACTGCAATCACCTGACGGCGGTTCCAGCGCATACGTTCACAGCTCATCCTGTGCGGTTAATCCTATTGCGCCCTGGTGCAAAACGGTAAAGATTACCAACCGCTGTGCACCGCCTGATATCGTCTTGCACCATGACGGATGAACTGAAAACGTATGCTTTGGACACGCCCTCCTGAACAACACTGCAATCATTTGAACCTCACTGCTATCACCTGAACTGCAATCACCTGAACCGCACTGCAGTCACCTGAACCGCACCGAAATCACCTGAACCGCACTGCAATCACCTGAACCAGGACTTGAACCAGACCAGTAGCTGCCTCAACAGAGCGTCACGAAACTCTTCCTCTGACGGCTGGTACTGGCCTTGCTGCGGTGGGGATGAGGGGAGGAAGAATCAGAAGCAGAAGGGGCAGAAGCATGAGAGCAAGGATGACTTGAGTTGACTCAAAATAACAGCAGCTGCCTCAACACAGCGTCACGAAACTCCCCTTCCGACGGCTGGTACTGGCCTTGCTGCGATGGGGATGGGATGGAGGCAGAGGCAGAAGAGCAGGTGTGTTTTGAGTGGATTCACAACACAGCAGCTGCCTTAACACAGCATCAAGGAACTCTCCTTCTGATGGCTGGTACTGGCCTTGCTGCGATAAGAAACAGGTGGTGACAGGGGGAGGCAGAAGCATTAGGGCAGGCGTGTTTTGAGTCGACCCACAACACAGCATCACAGGATGATGGGGAATGGAAGGGGCAGAAGAGGGAGAAGAGGCAGAAGAGGCAGAAGCAGACGAGCGAGTGTGTTTTGAGTCGAACCCACACCATTCCATTCCACCCAACCCGATCCCACCTGACTTGATCCCACCCGACTGAACCGATCCAACTCGACCTAACCCGACCTAACCCGGCCCGGCCCAGTCCGGATCTATGATCATCCTCCGTGCCTACTAATGCGAACCTTAGCTAAGGGAATGCTGCCTCCTACAGCTGCCTCCTCCAGCTGCTGCTGGAGAGGAATGAGGCAAACCCTGACCTGACTTGCTTGGATCCAATCCAACCGATCTTCAGACATAATTCTCAGGGAGCAGCAGTAGCGAAGCTAGGCTTAAAGCAGAAGAACAAACAGCTAGTATTGTACTCGATGTGTAAGACTAAGCGTTCAAAGAGATCTCAGAGCCAACCTCTTGGTTTGGATCCAAACCCTGACCTGACTTGCTTGGATCCAATCCAACCCCTTCAACCCATCTGATCCCGACCCATGCCCATGTGACAGTCATGCCCTTTGCCTACTGAGACTGCAGTTGACTTTTGAGTCGACTCAAAAGTCAGTTTGGATCCAAACCCTGACCTGACTTGCTTGGATCCAACCCCTTGAACCCATCCGATCCCGACCCATGCCCATGCGACAGTCATGCCCTTTGCCTACTGAGACTGCACCGGCCTCCTCCAGCTGCTGCAGGGGAATAAATGAGGCGGACACCAAAACCACCTCACCCAACCGACCAGACCCAACCCGATCCAGACAAAGTTACCATGCGTGCTTACTGAACCTTACCTTGGCTAGGGAGACTGCAGCGCCCTCCTCCAGCTGTTGCAGGGGAATGAGCCGGACCCCGACCCCGACCCCACCCCACCCCACCCCACTCGACCCCCACCCCACCCCACTCGACCCCCACCCCACCCCACCCCGACCCCACCCCACCCCGACCTATGACCACGGCCCATGGTTACTGAGGCGAACCTTACCTTGGCTAGGGAGACTGCAGCGGCCTCCTCCAGCTGTTGCAGGGGAATGAGCGAGCGCGCCTTGGCTTGGCGTGATGGATCCTCGTACTGGAAGGGCAGGGTGTGGGACGAGAGAAGAGATGAGGGATGAAAAAACAGGCAGTAGATGAAGGGACTTCTGAATCGACTCAAAAGTCACCTCTGCTGCAGAGGAATGAGCGGGCGCGCCTCGGCCTGGCTTGATGACGAGTCCTCGTACTGTCGGAAAGTGAAGTGTGGAGTGGAGTGTGTGTAGAGAGGGATGAGGGATCGCAAGTGATATGAGGGAATGAGTGGAGGGCATGCGAAAAAATAATGCCCGAGGGGGAGCCAAGGCCTGAAGAGGAATGAGCGAGTGCGCCTTGGCCTGGCGTGATGGGTCCTCGTACTGGGGGGTTGTGGTGTGTGGAGTGTGTGGAGTGTGTGGAGTGTGTGGAGTGTGTGGTGTGTATGGGAGAGGGTGAACATACACAGGGGGGGGCACAGGAGAAAAAGTAAGGGGAGAGGGGGTCAATAAACTGGTGCACGGGAATGAGCGATCAAGGTGCTTACTACTAGCACAGAGATTAGTGGTCAGCGATTGATGGAATCATAGCCCAAGATAGTGCACCGCATCGCACTGCACTGCATCACATTGCACTGCTCTGCACTCCACTCACCTGCAAAGCATTGCTCCATTGTGACAGCAGTCGCCCCTCCCCTCCAATGCCGCCTGACCAAGTCACCCACCCACCCCCCCTTGCCTTGCCCGTCTTGCACACAACACGCTGCACCACGTGGCACCGTATTGCACCGCACTGCACCGCACTCACCTGCATGACATTGCTCCACAGCGACAGCAGCCGCCTCTCCAAAGCCGCCTGACCCTGCTGCTGCTGTGGCGGCTGCTGCTGCCCCCTCATCTGCTGCAGCATGGCCTGCATGGCATGTGCTTCTGACTGCTGCATCTGCTGTGCCAATGCTGCATCCTCCTCCTCCTGACATGCCATGCCATGCCATTGCAATATAAAGCACCATGACATGCCATGCCATGACATTACCGCGTCATGCACCATGGCATGTCATGTAATGTGATGGTGCCAAAGAAGAGGGAAATCATGAGAGGGGGGGGGGGGGGGGGGGGGGGGAAGGCGGGAGGGGTAGAGGGGGAGGCACAGCGCATCAGATGCAGTGACTTGAACTGGTGACATGTGTTTTGAGGCGCCTCAAAACACACCTCACTACAGCGCATCGGATGCAGTGACGAGAACTGGTGATATCGGCTTGTGTGCACAACGTACTGAAGAAGAAGCGTGTCGTGTTCAGATGCACAGTGAGAGGGGGGGGAGAGGGGAAGGAGGGGGGAGGGGTAGAGGGGGGGGGGGGTGGTAGAGGGGGGGGCACAGCGCATCGGATGCAGTGACGTGAACTGGTGACATCGGCTTGTGTGCACAATGTACTGAAGACGACGTGTGTCGTGTTCAGATCAGATGCACAGTGAACCGTGAACGCATGAACACGCATGAACACGCATGAACACGCATGAACATGCATGAACACGCATGAACACGCATGAACATGCATGAACACGCATGAACACGCATGAACATGCATGAACACGCATGAACATGCATGCACTGGAAAAAGGGCAACAGGGCAGGCAGGGCATGCAGGCAGCAGGAGTGCTGAAACAAAAGAGCATCCACACACGCCACATACCGTCGCCTTGCGATTTCCGCATCATCCTCCCTGCTCCTCATTTAATGGGTGTCAGTTAACGCATGCAGGAACGCTGATACATGCACACATATTGACATCCACACACGCCACATACCTGCAGTCACCTTACGAGTTCCGCATCTTCCTCCCTGCTGCTCTCCCCCTTACCACCCTTAGGATCACGACGAGGAGCTCGCAAGGCGCCAATAGAGCATGCAGGAGCGCTGAAACAAAAGAGCATCCACACACGCTACATACCTGCAGTCGCCTTGCAAGCTCTGCATCATCCTCTCGGCTGCTCTCCCCCATACCACCCTCCTTCCCTTCCTCCTCCTTAGTCGCCTTCGCCTCCCCCTGCTACATACCTGCAGTCGCCTTGCAAGCTCTGCATCATCCTCCCTGCTGCTCTCCCCCGTACCACCCTCCTTTCCTTCCTCCACCGTCGGCCCCTTCTCTCCCTCCGCCCCCTCTGAACCCTTCTCCCCCGTCTCCCCCTCTGCCCCCAGCCTCCCCCGATCGTGCAGCAGCAGCACCGCACCAGTGGCCGGCAGGAGGGAGGCCAAATCCGCATGCGGCGAGGAGAGGTCAAGGGAGGGACCGGAGGAGAGTGAGAGCTGCAAGGGGACCAGGGGAAAGGCAGTAAGAAAGGAGGTGATTCCTGAATAGGCTTCCCTATCGTGCAGCAGCAGCACTGCGCCAGTGGCCGGCAGGAGAGAATCCAAATCCGCATGCGGTGAGGAGAGGTCAAGGGATGGGTCAGCGGACAGGGAGAGCTGCACGGGCGAATGGGAAAGGGGAGGGAGAAAGAACGACCGAATATGTTACAAGGCGCATCGAGATTGAAACGACATGTGGCGAGTGAGGAGTGGTCACGGGACGGGCCGGACGAGAGGGAGAGCTGCAAGGGCGGGCGGAGGGGGGAGAAGAGCAGCCGCTGGTAAGTGGGGATGGCCTTTAACATGAATGAGCATGAGGTGTGGAGAGACGACAGGTCAACGGAAGGAGAGGTCAAGAGACAGGCCGGATGGCAGGAAGAGCTGCCTGCAAGCCTGCAAGGTCAACACGGTCAAATTGATTTATCTGATGAGCTTAAGGGAGTTCCCCATCCAGTCCTAAAGAAACATTGATGCTCGACGTACCACTTGGTTCTCTGGCTCGACTCCTGTGAGCGAGAAGATTTGAATCTGCAACACCTGTGCAACAATGGACGGCCAGGGATGGACGGCAAGAGATGGACGGCCAGGGATGGACAGCAAGGGATGGACAGCAAGGGATGGACAGCAAGGGATGGACAGCAAGGGATGGACAGCAAGGGATGGACGGCCAGGGATGAATTGGGAGGAAATGGGGAGTCGACGGGGACACGGGTGGAGGAGGTGAGGGGGGGTGAAATGTGGCCCGATTCACATCATGCAACGGAAGGGCGGTGTCGGCACATGCACCAGACCAGATAGGTCCGAGTGGGAATATGGATCAGCTGGCTGGGCTGATTTCTGAGGTATAGCAAAATCAGAGGACTGGGAACAAGCTACTTGGGCTGGATGCATGAAAACAGCTCGAAACAGTTAGAGAATAGGCCCAAACCCGCCTCTCCCGAATTGAATTCCTTACAGGTACACCAATTGCATACCCTTCACCGAAGCCTTATCGCTACCTCTCTCCGTCAATTTCTCAGGGAACGAGCAACTCCAGTCCTCTATCGCCTCTGTCCCTGTTCCGACCCACCCGCCCCTCTTGTGGTATATGTGAATTTCATTCGACTCAATAATCGATATCTCTCATCCCATCCCTCAGGAAAAGGAACAGCTCCAGCCGTCTCTCGCCCCCAAACCTGTATAAGACCACCTGTCCCTCCTGTGATATATCCATAGCGCTTGCTTTCACCACCTTCATGCTCATCCCCATCCTCGCATCCTATTCCCCCTTTTCAAATTCCTCATCCGCCGTCGCTACTCCCACCACCCCTTCTCCCGCCTTCCCTGCTTCTCCCGTCCCATCCCTCCTTCCCACAACCCCCCATCGCCTCACCTCCACGCCCATGTCAACTTCCACTTCTATTTCGAACCGCTCCTCACCGAACACTACCGTCACTCCTCGCGCCGCCATCGCGGATAGCACAAAGACCCGCCGCGCTGAACGCGCCACGTGGCGCACCCGCAACTTTGAAGAGGCTACAGATCTCGACTCGTGGCGCGCGAGCAACTGCTGACAGGGTGCGGCGAGTGACACAACGAAACGGCAGCCACGTGGTTTAAGATGATTCGACTTGAGTCCAACTTCGTGCAATCTGAAGCCTGCACTCCTAGTAGGTTGTATTCGTGGTAAAAGGAGAACTCGGGTCGCGTTAATGTGCTGATTGAGAGTGAGTGGAAGAGCGCGAGGCACGTCTCGGGAGATATGACTATATTGCATGCGGAATCTTGCCTTGCCGATGACGGCTGCTGCGTAGGGTGGTCTGAAAGAAAATCAACTTGATACAACCCGTCGTTACGACACTTCAACAACTGGTTTCTCCCTACCTATCTTCAACTGTTAGCTCCCTCACTAAACTGATCGGTGATATATTGCGCTCTCTACCTCACTTCATGACACGAACATGGTCCAATAGTCCGAGTCCGGATGAAGCACTTGGGTCTAATGCAGGGAAGGCGTATTCCTGCGAAGACTTTCGACCGCCCGATGACACCTCTTTAGCAATTTCTGTGTTTGATTAGTGCTACACCACACGAACTGTACTTCCGGAAACGAAATGAGGACCCGCGGGGTCATCATTTAATCCCGCATTGAAATACATAAATACTACTTTCCTGGTCCGACTGGGCGTGGTCGGGCAGGGTTGGCCAACTGGGGATACAGTCTCCGCAGGTCGCTGTAACAAGCCAAACAGATCGGGAAGGTTTCGCTCTCGCCAGTTACTCGTGCACGAATATTTTCGTCGAGGGAACCTACCTGATCCACCTCGTCCATGAGTTTGTCCAGGATTTTCGCGCCAAAACCAACCAGACCTTTCCAGCAGCAGCTCTCCGAAGCCAAAACCAAAGCAAAAACCAGACCAGACCAGCCGAGCCGAACCAATCAGAGCCCTTCGTTGTCGAATGAATGACTTGCTTGTTGCTCGACCTCCTCCTGAGTTGTCGTGACTCTCAAATTCAGGATATCACCGACATTCCCTCAATTGCTTTGCCTTGCATTTGCCATAGTATCAATGAATTAGTGAAGCTTCCTTACGTCAGTGGAGCCTGTACATTATCATATGTAAACTTATAGATTTGCAGGATTCAAGTTGTTCCCCGTTACCACGACGACGCGACGTGAACTTTTCTTAATGGATTTCCACGACGCAGCCATTTTACTCCTGGGCTCATTAGAACAACCAGTTCCGTCAGCTTGCGGTCGATAATCTCTAGGTCGCCGAGAAATGCGTGGTGAGGGATCTGAAAATCGGCGCCTTGTAGCTTTTCACGAAAAATGCGTTAGTGAAGATCGTTTTCGGAACTGGTATCGTGCAACTGGTATAGTATCCTCGTGTTATGAGTAGGCTGGTAGTAGTGCGCGGGAACCACGACAAACATTTCAGGTGTTAATGCTTCATTCATTCCTGAAGCCGTCATCCGTGTAGCTAACCCTTCGACAAGAACCGTGAATCTGCTGGACTTACTTCCACGGCTTTCTATATCCGATTCAGGGTTCCAGCGGGTCTGATTCGACTCAAATCAGGCTACTTGGATCTTCACCTCGCTGTGTCTTTCAAGCGAGTCTCTCGAATCAGTCTATAACGCGCGTCGTCCAACTGCTGCTTACCATCCCCTCAATGTCAGCTCAGGAAACACAAGACGATGAGAACGCGTAAGAAAGGGATTTGAAGGTTCGGAAGCAGCCTGTTCGGTGATCCAAGGTGGCGTGTGCATTTCTTTATTCCACTGCAGAGCAAGCGAAGTTGAGATCCGGATCCGCCATCAGAGTTCTTCCCGTGAAAACCGCGCTTGGAACGCGGACAGGGTAAAGGCAAGGAAGGAGCTGAAGAGGGTGTGACTGGTCCCGCTGCTGCACCTGCTGCGGCTGTTGTTACTCTTCCTACTATCTCCACCAACTGACACCTATTGTCGGACCTACTGCAGCTGCTGCTCCTCTTCCGGCCACTGCCATCCCCACGCCGCGTGTAATTGATTACAACAAGGGGGGCCACCATGGACTCAAGTTCCGACGTGACGATTCAAAAGTCCCCTTCTGCTGTCACACGACCACGTGGGATCGACTACAGCAAGTGGGACCACGTGATCTCTAGCAGTGACGAAGACGAGGGGGAACCAACGGGGAAGAGAGACGGAGGAGGGAGTGGTGGAGCAGTGGAAAACGCCAAAAAATCCGTAGGAGTAATCAAGGTAAGAGACGGCTGTAGTGCAGGTGGGTCCAGCAGCATCCTGGGCAAATACGGCGAGATCTGGAAGAGCCGCGAGGAGGCTGTGAAAAGGTGGAAGTTTCTAGCACAGGCGGCGGTTGGGGCTGGAAAGGCAAAAGTGCCTATGAGGCAGGGAGGGAAAGGAAGAGTGGAAGGTACAGAGTTGCACGGGAAGCTGCAGCTGCTGAGTCGGGCGAATATGCTGCACTATCTGGACGTCAAGGGAGGATGGGGTGCGCGTGAGTGCGAGTGCTGCTTGGAACGCGCAATTTTTTACCGGGCTCGGTGCGGGGTCTACGTGACCAGCCTCAAAGACTTTCGGGACGAAATATGCAAGCCGGAGCTGAAGTTCGTTCCCTTGGCTCCCACACGTAGGGTTTCTTATGACCCAAAAGCCAGGGCTGCTTTTGAGTTCTCCTCAAAAATTCAAGCGTTTGGGGTGGGGAGGAGGAGCTGAGGGAGCGGCCTGAGGTGCAATTCTGTTGCAAGTGTGAGCTGGCGCCGTTGCTGTGTGTGGAAGCCATGATGACGGACTGGCTGTCTGAGCCTCGTGTGGGTGTGCTCATGGACCTGGGGAAGATCAGATCCCGCCTGCCTGCCATTCTGGCTGCTACTGGTACAGATGCTGCTGCAGGTGTCCCTGCTGTTAGTGCTACTCCTGACTCGGCTGAAGCCACTCCAGTGTGGTCCAGCTGCTGGCGCTGCAGCAGCTGCTGGGCTGCCTACCGCCGTGCTGTCAGCTTCGCTGCCTTCCTCGTGCTTGTAGCGAGATCTTCCCTCTTTCTGACGCTATGGCAGACTCGCATAGAGTCTTGGGATCTGGCCTACCCGGCAGTATTGATGGAGCTGGGGGCGCGTAGGCAGGCGGAGAATGATTGTGTTGCGTCCATGCTGGTGCAGGTGTTAGGGGTTAAGGAGAGTGCTGATCTGCAGGAAGGGTTTGGGTTCTTTGTGCAGCATTTGCTGTCAGGTGGGCTGGAGAAGGTTCATGCTGAGGAAAAACGGAGAGGGGGCGCTGTTGGTGCAGTGGGGGGAAGGGGTGCTGCTGATAATTTCGAAGGAGAAATGGAGGAGAAGGATGAGAAATGGAGGGAGAATTTGAAGGGGCGTGAGTGGGAGAGGTATGTGGATGGCATGGCTTGGATTCTGAAGCATGGAGGGGGGGAAGGGAGGGAGTTCCGCTG